CTAAGTATCAGCATTGATTATAAACCACTACATGGGTAGTGGTTTATAATCAATGGTATCAGCTGAGCACAGCTATTCGTTGCAGATCTCTACATTTTGACTATTGCAAACAGTATTTGGCGAAGTTAAACTATCACCGTAGCGATGGCGCCACAGTGGTAGATATTTCCCAGTTTATACTAATTCTTTTTTGGTTGGTGTGAGTGTCAAAGTTAATAAATTCCAGTATTTGAAAATAAACACTAATTTCAAAAAAACGTCTGTCTTTCGTTGAAGTTATATAATCAGTCTTTGATATACGCTAATTAGTTTTCCTCAAATTGATTACTTTTAGACATAACTTCTTTTGTTGTGCAAAGCAAGCGTGTTTATAATATGGGCTATGCCACTGTTTTCATTATGGGATAGTGGCCCATATTTAGAACAATGTAAAATATACTTCAATTGATTTAGGATGTCAAAACAACAGATGAAAAAAGATAAAAAAGAAAACAAATGGGATGAGAGAGATATGGAACGTGTAATTATAGCTGTCAGGCAGCACAAAATGGGTAAGAAAACTTGAACTAAAGCCAATTGAAGCTGCTCAAATAAAGTTGAGGAGTAAAGCTGTCTTGGGGAATGATCTTGAATCGTTATATTTTGTAAATAGAAGCTAAATTTAATGGATTAACCAGAAAAGATCTTAGGAGGATGGCGTACGTCTTAGCTTCCAGGAACAATATCAAACATCAGTTTGGAGGTAATACGGCAGACAGAGCCTGGCTGAGGCTTTTCCTGCACCACCATAAAGAGCTATCAGTACGACAACCAACGGGAACATCATATTCAGGAGCAGGAGGCTTTAACAAAGAAAATGTCGCATCCTTTTTCAATGTTCTGGAACAAGAATATGACAAACGGTTTTACCCACCTAAATGTATCTTCAATGTGGACGAGACAGGCCTAAGGATTGTACAAAACAAGATTGCACAGGTAGTATGCCGAAAAGGGAAACGAAAAATTGCATCATTAACTTCTGCTGAAAGGGGCTCTCTGATAAACGCCGTGATATCGATGTGCACTGCTGGCTAATTCATCCCACCAATGATGATATTCCCACGTAAAAATATTAACCAGCAACTGATGAAAGGAGCTCCTGCAGGTTCCGTTATGGCAGTACATCCCAATGGATGAATCTTCTTCTTCTTTCAGTGCCCTGTCCGATTATCGAACGTTGGCGATCATATTGGCAATAATAACCTTATTCACGGCGGCTCTAAATAAATTAAAGGTGGTTTCTTGATACCATTCTCGGAGATTTCGTAGCCAGGATGTTCTTCGTCGGCCTGGGCCTCTCCTTCCGTCGATCTTACCCTGTATTATGAGGCGTAGAAGGTTATACCTCTCTGGATGTCTCATTACATGACCGAAATATTGTAACTTCCGAATTTTTATTGTTTTTGTTATTTCTGTGCTCTTTTTCATTCGATGTAAAACTATTTCATTTCTTATTCGATCAACCCAACTTATCCGCAATACTCGTCGATAAATCCACATCTCAAAGGCCTCTAATTTTTTCATTAATGTCTCTGTAAGGGTCCAGCTCTCCATACCATACAGCAATATGGAGAATATGTAGCAGCGTATTAATCTGATTTTAAGATTTAACGTAATATCTCTATTAATTAGAATTTTCTTTAATTTATAGAAGGCGGCTCTGGCTTTTTCAATGCGTATTCTTATTTCGTTATTTATATCCCAGTTATCGTTAACGTTTGCACCCAAGTAGGTAATATTGTGGAATCTTTCTAACTCTATTCCATACGCTCTGATGTTCGTTAGTTGTAACTCCGTTTTGCAGACAACCATAAATTTTGTCTTAGAAGTATTAAGTTTTAGCCCATATTCATCACATGCTTCGGTTACCCTATTTATAAGTCGTTGCAGGTCTTCTTGCACACGGTACTTATTGCCTCCAATGAAGAAGACCTGCAACGACAATGGATGAATACAAAGCAATATTTTCACAAGATGCTTTCAACATTTCGTTGACACAGTGAAACCCACAGAATAATCACCAGTCCTGCTTATTATGGATGATCATTACAGTCATACACGTAATTTAGAAGTCATAGATTTAGCTAGGGATAATCAAAGTCACTATAATTGTCTTGCCTCCCCATTGCACCCACAAACTCCAGCCATTGGACAAAATTTACATGGGTGTTCATAAGGCTTACTACAGCGAAGAGATCAGGGTCTGGTTGCGCCACAATAATCGTCCACTAAGTACATCAAAATATCAAAATACAGAGAGGAGTCCGCCAGGGTTGTGTGCTGTCCCCACTACTTTTCAATGTCTACAGTGAAGCGGTATTTCAAGAAGCGCTCTCAGACTCAATAGAAGGTATATCTATCAATGGAGAAGTTTTGAATAACTTACGTTTTGCAGACGATACAGTAATAATTACGGATAACAACAATGATTTACAGAACCTAATGCAACGCCTTAATGAACGCTGTCATGAGTACGGACTGAAGATAAATTTAAAGAAAACTAAATGCATGATCATGACTAAATCTGCACATGCAAATATCCAATTGACTATTGAAGATACTAAAATTGAGAATGTTAATAACTATAAATATTTAGGAACATGGATAACATCAGATGTAGACCAAACCAAAGAAATTAAGACACGTATTGAAATAGCACGTACATCATTTATTAAACTTAAAAAGTTTCTTTATTGTCGGGATATAAGGTTAGAACTACGCCTGAGAATGCTTCGATGTTACGTGTTCTCTACTCTTCTTTATGGTCTGGAAGCTTGGACACTAAAACAAGACCATCTGAATAAGCTGGCCGCCTTTGAATTTTGGTGTTACAGAAGAATCCTACGAATATCATGGATTCAAAGAATGTCAAACATGGAAGTAACTAGAAGGATAGGAAATGAGGCGGAAATAATATTAACTATTAAAAGACGAAAACTTGAGTACTTGGGACATGTGATGAGAGGGCAAAAATACGCATTATTACAACTTATTATGCAGGGCAAAATCCGAGGAAAGCGAAATGTGGGAAGACGAAGAATATCCTGGCTTAAGAACTTAAGGGAATGGTTTGAATGCAGTAGTGCAGAACTTTTTAGAGCGGCAGTCAACAGAGTCCGCATAGCCATGATGATTTCCAACCTTCGATAGAAGATGGAACTTAAAGAAGAAGAAGTACATTTGATGTATCAGAGCTCTTTGGGAGAGCTCATTTGACATGCCAAACTGGAGAAATTGTCGTTAATGGATGTAGAACTACAGGAATTTATCCCTTGAATAACAACTAATTTCAGATGTCGATTTAATGGCAGCTGAAAATACTTCGACAGCCACACCTGATGATGCGAGTGATGAAGATAATAAAGTGATCGTCGTTTCAACAGCTGCTGTCAATTCAAATAAACCTACAAATTTTAACTATAACTCTATCAATTCTGAGAGCATACCAGATTGTCCTTCCATTCACAATAATTTAACATCTACTTCTCCCACTCTTCCATCTAGGCCTAATAAACAGCTTAAAACTATTCCTAAAACTAATACACAGCTTGATGCTATTTCTTCAACTAATTCACATCTTGTCTCTATTTCCACAACTAGCTTTTACAGAAAGTCTGCCACGCTTTGTAGAAGACCTTGTGCAGAGCTTGGTGTAAAAAGAAATTCCTTCCACGTCTGGGTCTTCAAGAACATCTATGCTAACACCAGATGATCTTTCTCCTGTGCCAAAACAATGAAAACTTGAGAAAGTCAAATACATACGTCATTGCCTATGAGTTTTTTTAAATATTGTTTGTATTTAAGATATTGAAATATATTTGTCAAGCATTTATCTTATTTCATACAAATTTAAGACACAATTTTCGGGGTAGCCCATATTTAGGATCATTATTCAAACGACGCAAAAGAACAATTTTTACTTATTTGTACATTTAAAACAGTTATATATTTTTTAATCTATTTGGACTTTGGGCAAGTTATAAATAACTAAATATAGGTATTCTTACGTACCTTTGGAATTGAAATAGAATTTTCATTCTTTCTTTTATAAATACAAAATGGGTATCCCATATTTGCATCCTTTCCTATACCTATTACTTTTCCATAAAATAAAATTAATTAAGGTTTGAACATAAGTTTTTTAGGCTTTTGTATGAATCTACTTCAGATATTTGTAGTAATTTATCACGCAGCCTATTTCTTTTAATTTCTGCAAACTTTTTAGTTCTTGTCTTGGTTTTATGTAATTTTAGAAGGAAACGGAACGTATCCCTTTATTTTCAAGGCAAGTAATATCTTTTTATGCGATTTTTTTATATGCGTTTTTCTGTGGGACGTGTCTACCGCATAAAACGAGACACACTGTTACATGACGAACCCTGTATGAACAATTTTTATTGCAAATAATGCGCTATTAAATTATCAATCAACATGTCCGAGTGTTTTTTGAACACGCCATTATTTATTTATTATCGAATTTATTTCATTTGGCAGTTCCACTCTGGAAATTAATAACTGATTGTCAATATCGAGACTTTGAGACACAATACCCGCTCCTAATTTTTAGAATTACTATAGTTTGTTAAAAAATCGTGATCTTGAATTAACTGAATTGCATTCTTCAACTCATTCATAATAAATTGTATTTATACTTTCCATTGTTCTAGATTTGTACTTATAATTAAATAAAATTCTCGTAATATTTTTTGCATACATTAACACTTTTAGTAACAATAACAATAATTTTCCCAGCATAACTGTTAAAAATATTTAAAAAAAAAATTTATTAGTACTATAAATTATATGACGATATCCGGAAACCCATTACTTGCACTTTTTGCCAATAAATGGACCACCTTCTTCTACGAGAAACATAGACTGATATTTTAGTTATTTGGGGGGGATCGCTTTGTTTTTATAGGTATAGAAGAAGTTATGCTGCAGTGCAGCTAGTATGAAAAATGAATCCGAACACTATATGTACAGTCAATACTTGTCCAGGTAACTTACGAAACGCTTCGGCTGCCCTATTTTTTGCGTTGATCAACACTATCACTGCTGCGAAATGTTCTTTCGCATCGCCCAACGATTACCCCGAAGACTACGGACCGTTTTTGAAAAATGAAGATGAGTTTGATTTTATTGTCGTCGGGTCAGGATCGGGTGGGTCCATAGTGGCGAACCAATTGAGCCAGAATCAGAATTGGAGAGTTCTCGTTTTGGAAGCTGGTGGAATTCCGTCTGCTAATAGTGACGTAAGTTGAAAAAAAATACTTTTAATCTTATTTATTTGCTTAAATTAATTTTATAGTTGTTGTGTCTTTCAGCTCTTATTTATTAATGTTATTAATACTCTTAGGTGTCAAGGTCATTGTCGTTCATCCTTCTATTTTCTTAGTATCCATTTTACCTTATCCTTTTTCGTTTACAGTTTGAATTACCTTATTGTTTTTTATTTGACTTAATAGGGTAAACTATACAGTGATTGGCCAGTTAAGAAGGTGTATGGAGTTAATTTAATTTTTTTTTAATAAAATTTCACTTACATACCTCGTAATATTATTTTTTGGTTTCTTCAGTTTATTGATAAATGATTTTAAAAAATATTTTCGCCATTTAAATCAATGTTTATTTGTAATTTTGAAACATTTTGTTATTTGTAAAATATTCAAAGATTGACAACTAACTTTCAATTATTGGCCAGTTGAATACCAGTAATTGGCATAGGTAAATCATATTATTAAAACGATAGGTAGATCTGGGGTAACGGGTAGAGTGATTGGCCACTTAAGGAATTGCCAATTGAATTAAAATTGTAAATTGGTATCTTTTAAAGTGAAATATTTTGTAAGGGTTTTTTAATAGTAATGAAACACAGATTTTATGTAAACTGAAGTTAATATAATCAGAAATAATAATGTATATTAAAAATAAACACAAATCTGAAAACTTACAGAACTACACAGTTATTGGCCATACATAGTTATTGGCATATAGAATTACAGTCATTGGGCCATTCATAAAACATCTAATTTTCTTTTTGTTCGTGTAGGTAAGGCACACAAAACTATTTAAGTTTTAAATTTCTTGAGGTTTCTTTGCACAACTACCAATAAGATAACCTCTACCACAAAATACATATTTTATTCCAATTTTTGATTTAGATATATTATAGAAACAAGATTAACACAATCCTGTATACAAAAGGTTATTTACAGGTGGGTTGGTGTCGTCTGATTGTTTCACCGTTATATCTGTGAGAATTTGTATTTTTTTATGTTCTGGATATCCTCCAATTTCAAAAAATTATTATTATTATTATTATAATATAAGCGAGGGCAGAGGAACTAAGTCCCTATTATGCCCAAAAACAAAGAAATTTCATTAATCACCTACTAGTAAATAACAAAAATTACAACTAAAAGAAATAAAATTACAATTTTTGGTTTAAAAGAAAAACAATATTTTAACTATATAATAAAACTGTCGAGTCTGTTTTTGAACGAGTTGGTAGAGGAAGCGGAGACAATGTTGTCGTTGAGGTTATTCCAGCACTCAAAAACTCTATTTGGAAGAAAGTTCTGTCTTTGTCTTATAGAAAAATTTTCTTTCTTTAGTTTGTATTGATGACCTCTGAGGCGTTCATCTTGGTTTATGATAAATATTTCATCGAGGTTTCCAAAATTGAATTTTAGTATTTTGAATGTTGTAATTAAGTCTCCACGTTGTCGGCGAAGTTCAAACGTAGTTAGGTTAGCCATGCTAAGTCTTTCTGCATAAGACGGTCTTCTCGGTCCCAAAGAAATTCGAGTGGCTTTTCTTTGAACGTTTTCCAACAGAGTCTTGTTTCGAACCAGATCGGGATACCACGTTGGTCCAGCGTATTCAAGTATGGGTCTTACGTACAAAGTGTAAAGTTTGCAAAATAATTGCATTGAAACTCCCGAAAAACACCTCCGAATAAGATACAGTCTGGAGTTTGCACGTTTACAAATAGAGGTAATATGATCGGAGCAAGTTAGGCTGCTGTTCACAATAACACCAAGATCGTTATACGAAAACACAGATTCTAATGGCTGCCCGTTAACAAAGTACGACACAAGTGGGTTATTTTTGCCAATTCGAAGCACTACACATTTTTCCGCGTTTAAGGGTAGTAACCACTGGGAACACCAAGTTAAAATAGAGTCCAAGTCCATTTGGAGGGTTAGCTGATTTGTGTTTGGATTGGCATATATTTTTGTGTCGTCAGCGTAAAACGATATTTTACTTGAGACATAATAAGGAATATCGCTGGTGTAAACCGCAAAAAGCAGAGGTCCAAGGACAGAACCCTGAGGCACTCCACTTTCCACTAACCTGTCCTGTGAGAAAGATTCGCCAACTCTAACTTTGTAATATCGATCTGTCAGGAAATCATCTATCCAACGAAGTAAAGTACCGCGAACTCCGAAATGTTCTAGCTTATGTAGAAGTCTAGATCTAGATAGACAACGTCGACGGCTGCGAACTGTTAAGGGATGAGGTCCAGTCGTTAACACAGTGTAGGAGATTGGTTAGAGTAGAGCGACCAGAGACAAATCCATGTTGTTGTGTTGGAATAACATGTTCCTGGAGAAGGAATTTGGTCATCTCCTCGGAAATAATGGCTTCCATAACTTTGGCAACTACTGGCAGCAAGCTAATCGGACGATAATTGTTGGGGTCGAGTTTGTTGCCTTTTTTAAAAATAGGGGTAACGGAAGCTAATTTCCAACTAGGGGGTAAGGAGTTTTGGATGAAAGAGGTTTGCATAATTAACGTTAAGGGTATTGCAAGCGTGTCTGCGCACCTTTTTAACAGTTTTGGTGTTAAACCATCTAAACCAGGTGAAGCGGCCGTGCGAAGTTTAATTAAGTGTTGTTTGACATGATCCACTGTGAATTCAACTTGCTGTAAGGATGCGCCGACACGATTACAGTTAACAGCAGGTAGATAACCATCATTTAATTCTTTAGTAAAAACCTGTGAAAATGCTAAAGAGAGAGTTTCGGAAGATTCTTTGTCAGAAGAACATAAAGTCTGGTTGGATTTTTGAAGTAGCGGAATGGAAACTTTAGATGTCATGGAGGAACGTATGTATTTATAGACTTTTTTAATGTTACCACTTTCAATAACGTTTGCTTCAAAATTTTGTCTTAGGGTTTTTAGAGATATTTTTAAGTTATTTGAAAATCTGCGGTGGCTTTGGAAATCACTAAGAAGCCCGGTGTGTATAAATTTTCGCCATAGATGTCGTTTGTGATTGATTTGTTTAATTGCTGTTCGATTTATCCAGGGTTTGAGGTTGTTTTTATAACTCTTAGGGAAAATAGTATTTGTAGAAATTATATTGTGGACTTTATCGAGAAATGCAGTCCACATTAATGAGGGGTCGTTTAAGTCTGCAAAAAATAAATGCCAGTCGATTTGAGAGAGTTCAGTGTCAACTTCAGAAAAGTCGGTAGTAGCATATGTTACAATGTTATTTTTGCGGGATAATATTTGATTGAACTGGATGTGAGCCGTTATAACTGCATGATCTGACTTTCCTATGGGAGAACTGACTTCGAGAGATGAAATCAGCTGTTCGTCGTTAATAAGCACTAGATCTAAAGTAGAAGGTTGGTTATTATTCCTAAATCTAGTAGGTTCTGTAATGAGTTGTATCAGGTTTGAATTTACTACAAAGCTTTTAAATAAATTATGAGCGTTTTCGGCGTCAGATAATGAAGTTATTGGCCTGGTGATCTCTGGGAAATTAAAATCTCCAGTAATGATAAGATTATCAAGAGATGATAGTTCTACAAGTTTTGTGAAGAAAACATTATCGTGTGCAAGGAGTGTATTAGGTGGACGATATATACATACTAGATTAAGGCAAAAAGAATTTTTAGTAACAGATAAGTGAATTGCATCTATTCCAGTAATATATATTAGCTTAAGGTTAATTTTGAAAGTTGTGGTAATAATATTGGATAAATAAATGCATACACCGCCACCCACACGATTTTCTCTGTCTTTACGATATATTGTATATCCATTTATATTAACAGAGGAGTCAGGAATTGTGGGTTTGAGCCAGGATTCGGCAATACAGATAATGTCCGGTTTAAGAAGTTGCACTGTGCATACAAATTCGTCAAACTTAGCGGAAAGTGAATCTAAATTAGTATATAGAAATAGCCAGTCATTAAATTTGTTGGTAGAAAAATTATGAACGAAATTTCGTGATTCTGGGAGTGCCATTGATGTATTTAATAGTTAAATCATGTTCACCGTTATTTTAGCGAGTTTCTAGCTCACTTCGGAGTTCTTTTAAACGTACTTGTTGGATGGGCGTCTTGTCGTCAATTATTGAAAATTTTTCCGTGGCTTTGTTTTCCAGAAGTTTAGCTTTATTTCTCAGAATATCTTTAACGTGGTATTCCGAACCCATCACTACCTTTATCATTCGGGGAAATCGTTGGTTTGCTTTGCCGACTCTGTAGAAGGTGATTTGCTTTTCCTGGCAGCTAACAGTATCCAAAACAAGCTTCACCTTATTCACGTCATCATCTTTTCTGCGTTGTACATCCCCAGAGGGAGATTCTGTTACGCCTCTAATTAGAATATTTTTAGCGCGTGTTATACGATCTACAGCTTCGTTAGCGATATTATCCGTGAATTCGGTAGACTTAAATAAATTAATCTGGCTGAGCTTATCATTTAACTCAGTTATTTTATTATCAAAATCATCAATTTTCGCACGAATTTCCATTTTAAAATCTAGCAGAAGATCTTTTATTTCTGAAATATTAGAAATATTGGAGCTGCAAGAGTTACAGAGTATGTTCAGTCCTCGAATTTTCTGTCGGGTGACGCGATCCTCCGATGAAAGGTCGGTGCATGTGATATGTATTTGACGCTTACATCCATCGCACTGGAGTTTGCGGTCAGCTGTCGCTATGGTTTTCGAGCAGTTCGAACAAAGAGAGGTGGACGGCATTGTTAATTACTTCCTTTTAGCCGACTCACCAGCACGTTTTTCTTTGCTGATGAAAATTAGCCAAATCAATTCAGTTGTTCCCGATTTCTACCCTACCTTTTGTGTTTTTTAGGACGGAAAAACCTTTACTTTTATCCCACAGGAAGTTTCCTCGAAGCGGCGTCCATTTTAAATAGCTAGAGGTCCTTCTTGTTGTTTTGTATGCCCATTTGTTCAGGAGATTCATGTAAGTACCCCTTTGTTTCATTT